CTGGCTTCCCTTGTCAGAAGGTCGCCAAAGGGGATCTCATGATCCTGGGACACTGCGACCATCATAAAGATGGCTCAATTGCTGGGCACCCAAATTTTAAACACATGACCATGAGGATGCTCCATCAGTTGTAAGCATGAAAAATGGTCATTATATAGTAACCATTATAATGGATAATGGATCCCCAGCAGGAAGGAGGAGGTCCCAGTCCCATTAAAAGAGGCTTCAGTCAGACCCCCCTTTGGAACCCAGTGCCCAGTTCTGGAGAACGCCGCTTGAAAGAAGATATTGATAAGACAGAGACGGGCAACAAAAATGGCTCAAGGTCTGAGGGACGAAACATACCAGGAGAGATGGGAGGAACTGAATATGTACAGCCTGGAGGACAGAAAGGGAAGAGGGGGGCATGATGGAAACATTTAAATATATTAAGGTTGTGAATAAGGTTCTGGAAGGCAGTATTTTCAATACTGAGCAAAAATCAAGAACACGGGGGCATAGCCTCATACTGATAGGAGGGGAGTTCGAAAGTCACGTTAGGAAGGTTGACTTCAGGAAAAGTCGTGGAAGTTTGAGAACCAATGTCCAGTGGAGATTGTGGGTTAGTTGTCAGTAGCTGAGCAGAGTTCCTCCTAGTGTTGCCCTCATGGACTCTCCCTGGCTCTGTTTTTCTTGTTTCAGCGGTGAGTGGCTTCTTCTCCGCCAGCTGCATTCCAACAGCCGAGAAGGAGGGCTACCCGGCCAACCTGTGTGAACTCTGCATTGGTGACAGCCAGGGGAATTTCAGGTGCAACGCCAGCAGCCAGGAGACCTATTATGGCTACACAGGAGCCTTCAGGTAATGAGACAGGTGGCTTCACTTCCAGTTTTAGGAAGGAGCAAGCTCCATGCCTTGCCTTCTCGAATTAAGCCACTCCTTTCTGTCTGATTGAGTGGTATTTCAGCCTGGCAAGTACCAAAATGGAAAAACGCTGAGTTTTATCTGCATTTGGGTGTCAAAAATATGGAGTAGACGTTGCCTATTTTTAATGCCCCTTATTCTTTGGCTACCTTCTCTTCCTGCTCCCCCCCCCCCCCCCCCCACAACTATCACCAGGTACCATAGCTGGGAGAGAGGAAAGAGCCAGCTTCACTCTTCCTTGTAATAAAGGGAAGCATCATTTTGCAGAGAGAAGCAGGGTGCACAAGTTGCTCTTGGGGCCCCTGGTTGCTCTTGGGGGGGGGGCTAGCTTGCACCCCTACAGCAGAGTGGCTAATAGGATTAATGATGTCATTACAGATGCTTAGCAGAGGGTCGTGGTGATGTGGCTTTTGTCAAGCATAGTTCGGTCTTTGAAAACACTGATGGTAGGTGAGCTCTTTCGTCTTATGGCTGTGCTAACTGTCATGTCTGAAATGCTTCAGACTCTCTTTCCTTCTTTCAGGGCACAATACTGATACCTGGGCCTCAAAGCTTCGGTCTGGTGATTTCCAGCTCTTGTGCCCAAATGGTGCCCGTGCTGAAGTTGACCAGTTTTCTGGTTGTCATTGGGGCCAAGTGCCTCCTCGTGCTGTTATGGTCCACCCAGACACCAATGCCTTGGTTGTGTATGGACTTCTGGATAAGGCTCAGGTAGGCCTAGCCTGAGAAGTGGGAGGAAGCCTGCTGCCTTTGTTACTCATTGGCATGATGGGGTCATTTGGAACACCACCAGTGGGTTGTGATTATGGGGCTGGAAGACCCTGTTCAAGGGCACTCTGGGACCAGCATGGCCCTCTTGCAGATCAACTTGTCCACCAAGATTACTGTTGTAGGAATAAAAGAAGATCCCTGTAAGCTGTTGCCTTGAGGTCCTGGAGATAGAAATGCACATAGTAGTTCAATGCAATGTAGATAGAAATGCAATGTAGTTCAATTGTTCCAGAAGGCCAGCCACACCACTGAGTAGGCCTGGCTGCTAGTTCCAGGAAGGGCACCCCTGCAGTCTGGAAAGAACTAGTGGACAGACATGCTGCCTTTCCTCCTTACACCTCCAGAGGCTGTTCTTTAGCCAAGATGTTGGGTTTATCATGGCTGAGTAGCTATCTTGTTAACAGAGATCTTTCCCCACATATCATAGCAGCAGCAGAGACAAAAACCATGGGGCTTATTTGTATAGCCAGAGCATGTGATGTGGTTACTGCATCTTCTCAGCCCAGTTTAGGGTTTGGTATGCTTGGACGCTTGCGCTCCCCGAGGACTGAAGCTGCCTGGGATCTGCAGCATGGCAAGGCCTCTACTCTGGGCGAGCCTGGCTGCTCCCTTTGCTCCAAAGGGCAGGGGGTCCCACAGGGTCTCCAGCAGCTCCTGGCAGAGCATGACCCTGGGCAGGGGGCTTCATAAGGGATCGCAAGTTGTCTGTTAGAAAAACACTTGCTTAACTTTCAGGATTTCTTTGGCGATGACAACAACCCGAAAGGATTTAAAATGTTCAGTTCATCAGAATTCCAAAAGCAGGATTTAATCTTCAAGGATTCCACAGTTAAAATTGTGCCAGTAGGGGAGAGAAGAACATTTGAGTCCTGGCTGGGGCAGCCGTTCCTGGACTCTTTAGAAGGTCTGCAATCTCCCCAGTGCTCAGGAGCTGGTAAGCCCATTGTGCAGTGGGAGCTCCCCCCCAATTTTTTGGTTAACAAGGAAAAAGAAATTATTTTAGGAAGTCCCTTAAGTGTTGGGCTGGTAATGTAGTAGAGGACCTCCATTCCATTTATGGAAAGCCAGTCTGGAGACAAAAAATTACCCATGTGCCTCCCTGAATGATTCAGGGAGTCTTTTGTTCCTTTCAGCTTTTAAGGACTAAATGTGTGGGGTGTATGTAAAGTATATAGGTAGTAAATAGTAGGGCTTACTTTTCACATGCAGCAAGCATCTGCATTTAACAGATGCGGCAGAAACAACAAAGCCATTTAGACGCTCAACTGCTTTTAATGTGGAGACCCACTTAGCCAAATCAGAATGCACCATCCTGGGGTGGACTTCAGGCTGACCCTAAGTTCAGTCTAGAAAGATTGCTAATGATGCTTGTATGTCTTTTATCTCCAGTAACAAAGTCTCTGAATGTGATTCTCCTCCTGACAACAATTCTGACTCTTGCCACAATTTCTACTTCATGAGCAACATGCAGGTGCAACAATACAAAATGCAACCAAAAGAGTTAAAAGTTTAGGCCAATCCTCATGGAATCAATCAATAATAGTGGAATATTCAGTTTTCCTCCCTGGCATTCTAAACGTGAATTGATAAGCCAGATTTTTAACCATGATGTATTGAGCAAATCAGTGACCTTCTTCTCAGCACAGAATGCTTGAGATAATGGATCTGGACATCATATAAAATCAAGAATACTAAAGCCAGATTGTGTGTTAGCAGGTATGAATCAGAGCCTTCTCTAAATTGCCTTTTCATTCCAACCGTCTCTCTTGGGACTCTGGGGTGCTCCTTTTCTTGACTGTGCCGATATGGCCGTACTTACATCTACTGGCATGCTTGAAAAGATTCATTACAGCAGGCAACTCTCTTTGCTCTGGAACACAACAATTGATGTACATGTCAAGTGACAGGAGATTCTTGTTATGGACTAGAAAGCATGGAAAGTACCAAGACCAAATAGACAAGCATGGATGATCTTCCTACCATTTCTGCTTTGGCAACACCTGTGGCACCCCCAAAGACAAAAGGGTGGGAAATGCTCTCCCCACAGCCACAGGATCCAACTTCAACAGATAAAACAGCCCGATTGCAAGACTGTCCTTCACCGAGACATAAGACCCTGTTTTGGATATGGCCTATTCAATAAAATCTTACTTTATTGAACAGGAGCTCTAAGGCCTCAGTGTATTTTGTAGATGCGAGATAGGAATTTTTTCAATAAAAAATATATTACCTTTAAATATAACAAAAGAAAAAGAATAAGGAAATTAAGTGAGAACCAAAAAAAGATAAGCTTAAAAAATAAACAGAAAAAAGAAAAGCTATGCATTTGTACCATAGAGCTGAATCAATTGAAGTCAGACTGTATCCAAGTAGAGTAAAATAAATACACAAAGAAATCAATTTAAATTAATTGTGATTGCATAAAATTGTATCAATCGGTTTTCCACCTCACTGGCAGAAGCTCAATTCATATATAGAAAGGAAATGCATGTCTTCTATTCTGCTATTAAATCATATGTACTAATCTTTCCACCAGAATAAAACAAGTTTCATAATTCCTGTCTGCATACAATACATTCTCCATTCTTTGATAGTTTTCAAATTTTCAGAATATTTAGCACCATCTGAGGCTTTTTTTTCTTAACACCCATTTTCAATCATGTATCTTATACCAAAATAGCATCACTGTAAAACAAGTTCCAAATTATGTCCCTTCTGTTACGCTTCCAACAGAGGTTGAAATCTCAGCTTTGCTCCACATGCTCAGAAACACCCAGCAGACTAAAAATTGGATTATTCTCATTTTTTCAAACGACTTGCAAGTTTCTCTTGTCAATAGTAAACAAAAACTGACTCTTTCTCTAACAGTAGTAATAATGTATCAGGTTGAGAAGCAATTAATACCTCACATCCAAGTAACAGAATAACAGAGTTAGAAGGGAACTTGGAGGTCTTCTAGTCCAACACCCTGCTCAGGCAGGAAAGCCATTCCAGACAAATGGCTGTCCAATCTCTTCTTAACAGCCTCCAGTGTCTGAGCACCCACAACTTCTGGTGGCAAGCTGTTCCATTGATTGATTGTTCTTACTGTCAGGAAATTTCTCTTTCATTCTAGATTGGGTCTTCCTTGGTTAGTTTCCTTCCATTGTTTCTTGTCCTGCCCTCAGGTGCTTTGGGGAATAGGTTGACCCCCCTTTTTGTGGCAACCCCTTAGAAATCGGTTGGAACACTGCTGTCATGTCGCCCCCAGTCCTTCTTTCAGTAGATTAAACAAACCCAATTCCTGAAACTATTCTTCATATGCTTTAGCTTCGTCCCCTAATCTTCT